ATCTCATTTTGAACCACCTAATGTTTGTCAGAGGCTTTTTTCAATATATCCACTGCTAGGGCCGAAACAGTAAAAGATAAGGATAATCCGAGGGTAGTTCGTGATCCAGAATAGTTGTTTTTTTTTTTTTTTTTTTTTTTTTTTTGGGGGGGGGGGGTACTTCCTCTGACATTTTACGATTGGACGCCTGCTTGTACGTCTTTATGTGCAACTCGGACATTTTCGCCGTATTTTCGTCGAAAAAGCACTCTAGCGCCCAAACCTTGCAAGATAGACTCAAACGGACAAAATTTTCGTCCAGAGGACTCCACTTCTACGAGTTACCCCTTAGGAAACCATAAAAAAAATATTTTTTCCTCCTTTTTGGACCAACCTCTATTTCTTTGTTACCCGCTTTCACCCCCTTAGGGATAGGTGACAGGATTAGCACCAGGCGTTTCGTTGTCCAGGACTGACCCCTAAGATACCCTGAAATTCGTAGACCTCTAGCTCATCTCCTTCCTGTTACACGGACGACAGACAGACAGACGGACACGAGAGCGGTTGCATAAGCCCGCTTTAATGCTTTTTTAAAAGCAGAAGGGCGGGCTAAAAACAAACACTGTTTTCGAACCATTTTTATCCAGTGCAGGGGCGAATGACCGTGTGGTCTAGGTGGTCACTACAGTGCACTATTGAGAAGTTTCTGAGAGTTTCTTTGTGTTTGTAAGGATAAGAGAAAGGCTCTGGACACCAGCGGGGCACTTTGATACCGCATTTTTTATTCAAATAAGTGCTCATTTACCAGTGCGCCACATGCTGGCTCGAAGCTGGCCTCCGGAGGACACGAGAACGTATCCAATCAGTTGAATAACGCAACCTTGTGCCTCCCGACTTCTTAAAAATTGTGTTAGTGCCATTAGCCGTAGTAGGCTCTCATTAGCTCAGGTACATCTAAATTTTCCTAATTTTAGGTATTAATTTGCTCGTGTTGACACGTTGGTGAGTTTTTAAGGGTACTTGAAAACATTAAAATGATTTGTATTATGGTCTTCTTGCGGCGGAAACTATGCCACTTCTACTCCACTCATTTCCTGGTCAATCACCTGGAAGCACTGTTTTGTACTTGTTCTTTCTTTTCAGGTGCCTTCATCTTGATTATTGCAGAAATTCTGTTGGGATCTATGTGTCTACCTTCTTTATTGAAGATGTATCCGACGAACTTCACTGAGAGTTGCCTTTATTGGATCTTTTCGGAGTTAAATTTAACATTCTTCTCCTCAGCTCTTTTCATCAGTGCTATTAAGATCTTGTCATGTTCTTCATATGTTTTCCCAGTTACAATAATGTCGTCACAATATGATGTTACTCCTTCCAAATCTCCAAAGTGTTTGGCTACTTCTGCCATGAAATGTTCAGGAGATGATGTCAGTCCAAATCGTTGGCTCCGAAAAAAACCCAGCGTAACTCTGCCAGTGCCGGAGAACAAGAGTAACTGGCAGCAGCGCGGAGAACTCGAGTGACTCCCTATCTAAATAGCCAGGCGTTACTCGAGTTCTCCGCGCTTGTGCCAGTTACTCTTGTTCTCCGGCACTGGCGGAGTTACGCTTGTTTTGTTTTTTTGGAGCCAACGAAATGGAAGTCTGTTCCACTGGTAACATCTATATGGTGTCGAGAATGTGCATGCCTCTGCTGATTCTTCTCTTAACTCACAGTGCCGAAATCCACTCTTGAAATCTAGTACTGTATAGACTTTCTGGCCTGAGAGTTTTGTCGATAATTCACGAATGGTGGGTACCTCAAAATACGGACGTCGAATGTCCATATTTAGCTCCATGGGATCCAAACATATTTGTAGAGATCCATAAGCTTTTTCAATTATAACTCTGTTTGATACCCATGACTTTGGTGTTTAAACTTTAGTGATTATCTTATCATTTTCTAGTTCTTTCAAAAATCTCTTCAGTTTTCTCTTGATTGTCATTGCCACTCTTCTTGGTGGTCTTGTTTGGGCAGTCTTCTACTGGCATTTCCCCGTTTCGGCTTCACTGTGGTGGATGTGAGTTCCTGGTCAAGGTCATTGCCCTGGCTAGTCTCCATAAGTGCATCACCATCACTGCAGGAGGTGTCTACACGACCAGAAACGTCCTCAAACACACTGGCATCCTCGGGCAGCAAAGGGAGACTGGATTCCGCAAGTTCTTCATCGACATTTCTCTCAGAAACATCATCAACTTCCATTTCCTCCTTGTCTGTGTCCATTGTTGTTGCCTGTGATCAGAGGAGGCGGGTGAGTCACAAATCGCCCAAAAACGTACTAAAACTGCATGATTCGCGTAGGAAATTAGTAAGAAATACTTCCGAGGTCTCTAGAAACGCTCTCCGTAAGGAAAAGTGTAGCTTACCTATTCAAAACAACACAAAATGTAGAAAAGTCGTCGCCCAGCCGGCCGCCCCCTTAACCCTATCTGGTTACGCAAGTTGTTGATTTTGGTAAAGTGCCGATTTAGGGCACAAAGTTGGTTCAAAATGTTGCGAAAAATTCGACACTACAATATTTTGAAGGTAACGAGACATCAGGATGCGTATTACTGCGTTTTAGCGATATTTCTGTAAAGTCGTTTCGGGAACGTTATGGAAGGCCGCCTAGCGCGCGGCGGCAGGTGGCCGAATCAGCGCTGCGGCGCTGTTCGCGCGCGCTACACGAACTTCGGCGGGTCGGAGGCATCTCAAATTTTGAAAGGTCGTAGAAAGGACCTTCCTCGAGCGAACAAGACCACCCGCAACACTGTGAGTGCCCGCGATGCGGAGAAAACTGGTAAAATATTGGGCTGGGCAGAGCCCCGGGGGCTTCTCGTTGCCTCTCCATTAAGCCCCTCTCATGCCGGCAGTCCTCGGCAGGTTACTCTGCACGGAACAATACCGAACCACAAAAGTCCAGGAAACGCACCCAAAACCTATCTTTGCAGTGCATTCCGAAATTACCACAAGTTAGCGTTGTGTTTTTGGAAGTGTAACGAAACTAGCACTATCTCCCCAGCTGCAAAACCCGGTACCCGAGACCCGGTCGGGACGAACCCGACCTGGGGAAGTACCCTGCCGGGTATGTACCCGATGGGAATTTGGCCGATTTCCGACCGGGTTTAAACCGATCGGGTTACTAGTACCCGGTACCCGGACGGTGGACCCAGCCAAAAATACCAGCACGCACTGTCGGGTTCGTGTTATATAGTGTAGGAGTTAAGTGGTAGCCGGTGGGGTACATTTTATGTCGTCGGGTACCTTCTAGGTACGGGGTACCCGAGTGCGGTACGGACGGACCCCGTAGGATTCGAAGCTGGTAGGGTTTCGAACCCCGTGGGTTTCGAACCCCCTGGGGTATAAATTGTACCGTGCCAGCCATATAGTAGGACCTGGAGGTTCCAAGGAGCAGTCGACGGGCACAATCGTGTGCCCCCCCCCCCTCTCCTCAAGTGCCGCATCCCTTGCTGAGAGCCAGTAATGTAGCTAAGCGAGTCCTACTCAATCGTATTGGCATTAGGAGCGCAGTATTAAAGGATAACAAAAGTAAAGATTATACTGATAACTCATCTACTTTATTTGTTCTAGTTGATGGCGCGTCGTCAGTTGTTGCCTGTCCGTGCAGCAGCTTGCCTCGCTTCCTTCCGCTTTCTGTAGCTAGGGCGCTGTGTAGATATAAAAGAAAGTATCAAAAAAAGTAATTACAAATAAATGAATGACATGTAGCAATCCTTAAATCCTGAATATAACAACTGAGAACACTGACTGCAAAAACTTTATATTTTTCTTTTGCAAACTAGAGCAAGCTTTTAAATTTTCCTGACTAATAGTTGTAAAGTTTCAAATTCTTTTTGAAAATTTTGTGTATTCTTTCTCTCCATTTGCACAAATAATCTCATTTTGAACCACCTAATGTTTGTCAGAGGCACAAAAAAAAAAAGTTTTACTAGTGAGTGAACAAGATGGTGGTACATGTACTAACTAAATTTAACAGTGCAACTTCCTATAAAACAAATTGTTTAACTCAAATAGAAAGGTATTGGAATCATGTTAAAATACTATTGTAAATATGTACCTTGGGCCTGCCGGTCTCATAAAATTTTTGATTGATTGTTTCTCGAGCTTTCTCCTTTGCCATCGATAAAGCTTCAGGGTCCATAATTTTCTTCGTATGGCAACGAGCAACCACACAAGCTGTAACATAAAAGAAAGGCTCTGCTATAGAATTGATAAAATTAATTTTGTACTACAGTTATCAATCTAGCATGTTTGATGGAAACCAAGACAAATTACTTTAAGTGATGAAAATGACAGACAGCAATGCATTGGTAGATTATCGAGTCGACTAAACAAATGCTTTAGTAATCAGGACTCAGCTTAAAATTGAGAAAACTAAAATTTCTATACCATTAAAAGATTAAAAAATATTTACTAATAAATTTATCAACATAATCAATATAAACATTATACTAGTTGACACATCTAAGATTGACTTGAAAACTGAGACATTTAATGTAACATCTAACAACCCAAACAACTATCCTGCATACCTTCAATGAGCCTCACTTTCTTGGGAGTAGCCTTTGAAATGTCCCCTCTAGTTTTGGAGACTCCTGTTACGGACCTCTTAGTCCTCTTCTCCTCCGTCCATAAATTTCCAGTAAGATCGTTGACAAATGCTGATTGCTTCTTAGCTCCACGTAGCTTTTTTAACCACTAGTCCTTGCTCACATGCAGCCCATAACCAAGGTAGAGCTAGAAATGAATAATGCAGATTAGATTTTGCAGTGTTTCCACTTACTTGTACTATATCAGAAATTTGAAAAGGCTTACCTGTTGGTCGTCATTAGGGTTCGCCTTAAGTCTTTTATCCACTGCAGTAGCACTTGCACACAGGTCAGTTTTGACTGCTGCTACAGTTTTCTTCCACTCACCATCTTAAGGATCAAGAAAGTAAAAATATATTAACGGCTGAGACAACACAATCCAAAAATAAAATTTAACTGTCAGACACAATAAAGAACCATACCGTCTTCTTCCTGATCACTGCCCTCATTCTCATTATCTTGCTCAGTGGCCCTTCCATCATTCTTCTCTTCAGTATCTGGTTCACTGTCACTTTTCCCATCATTCTTCTCTTTATCACAGGTCTTATTCTTAGTCTTGTCCTTCTCAACCTCCTTTTCACTCTCATCTTCAGAGGATTTTTCACTATCTTCAGTTAAAAGTTGGTTATTTGAGTTGGGTTTAGGTTTCTCACAGTAGTCGAGTAGAGAGCAGTCTGAATCAATACCTGAAAGAGAAAAATTGGTGTTGTGAATTCCTCTCCATTACCCTCTCCATAACCAGATTAAAAATATTTCAGTGTAATATTAAATTA